CCGAAAAGTGGTGACATCGGCACGAGAAAAACCAGTCGAATTATCCGTGTCGTCCGCTGTCGTGGGTGTTCCGAAAGGGCGACAGCAACAATTAAATTTACAACGGCCGCTAGAAGGCTCGTCGTCCGGACTACCGGCTGTTTTAGGTACCATAGTTAATAGTGTTCCCACTGTCCTACCTGTGGCACCTAAACCTCTAGTCGGTGTTCCACCGAAGAGACTTATTTTTGTTTCTAGGCTTGCCCCTCACTTTTCATCAGATGATGTAAAAGCCTTTATACAGGCAAAAATTCAAGCCCCAGGTATACTGGTGGAGAAATTTAAGTTCGCTTATGAAAGGGATATTGCGTCCTTTAAAATAAGTGTTCCGCCAGAAATATTTACTGATATTTGTTGTAAAGAATTCTGGCCGGAGCACTTAATAGTAAAAGAATATAAGGCCAAAAAGAAAAATCGGACTCCGATTTCATTACCACCTATTTCTAATGGCGCATCAACTTTAGTTGCTGCGTCAAAAAACACTAATTCCATCTTTCGAGCTTGCCTACCAGAATGTTAGAGGTCTTAAATCTAAACTCGCTAAACTGTATTTAGACTCTCTTGCTTTTAATTTTCAAATTATCGCTTTTACTGAGACCTGGCTGAAGCCGGACATCTCAGACTCTTCAATTTTTACCTCCAAATACACCCCTTACAGATGCGATCGAGCTTCCCGTATCGGAGGAGGAGTACTCATAGCTGTCGAGTCTGCTCTTTCGTCGGAACGCATTGATCTTCCCATCTCAGAGATTGAGTTGGTGGCTGTACGAGTTGTATTTGGTACTCTTTCTATCTTTATTATATGTTCATATTTACCTCCTCTATCTAATTTGTCTACCTATCAAACCCATCTTAATGCTATTAAATCTATCTCCTCCCTACTTTCTGATAGAGACCTTTTAGTAGTTCTTGGTGACTTTAATCTTCCCGTTGTCGAGTGGTCATCGCCATCAGACTCAAACTTTCTGTTGCCGTCATCGTCAAACGAAGAATTTATTGATGGTCTACATGAAATGTCCTTACGGCAGGTTAATTGTGTGCGCAATTCAAGAAACAGATCTCTTGATCTAATTTTCGTGTTGGATTCGTTCAACAGTGTTGTGCACAGGATCAATCCGCTTACACTTCCTGAAGACCTTTTTCATCCAACTCTGGAAATGGTCATTGATTTATCAGCCCGAGTCCCTATCAAGGAATCGGAATTAGCTGAACGTATGCGTTGTTTCAGAAAGGCTGATTTTCATAAGCTTAATGATCTTATTCTGCAAGTCGACTGGTCCCAACTGTACAATTGTGCAGACATTGATGTTGCCTTGAAACTTTTTTATGACACCTTGTACTCGATTTTTGATGTCTGCGTTCCTCTTGATTACCCAGCGAGGCCTGATAGGCCTCCCTGGTTCTCAAAGGAACTGATGAGGTTAAAAAACGTGAAGTCGAGGTGTTATAAAAAGTTTAAGAAATCGGGAAATCACTCTGATTTCTCCCGCTATGCAGTTGCGCCCGATCAAATTTTTCCACCCAAAATTCCATTTGCTATAAGAATTACCTTCGGCGTTGTCGCCTTCAATTTTCACATAATCCTAAGCAATTTTTTAACTTTGTCAATTCTAAACGAAAGACATCTACTTTGCCTTCTTCGGTTAAGTTTGCAGATGAGAGCGCGAACACTGATCCAGGCATAGCCGATCTGTTCGCAAACTTTTTTCAAACTACCTACTCCTCCTCTAGGTATAATAAAAATCAGCCTTATCCTTATCAGTTACAGAGGTCAAACTGCATCTTTAATCCCATTATTACCGAAAGTTCGCTTCTTAGCGACCTTAACACTATCAAGCCGGTTTACTCACCGGGCCCTGATGGTGTTCCTGCTTGCGTGCTTAGATACTGCGCTGCAGCATTATGTAAACCTGTTTTAAAACTTTTTGAATTGTCCGTAAACACTTCATCTTTTCCGACCATCTGGAAGGAATCATATATTATCCCTCTCCATAAGAAAGGGAGTAAGTCCGGATGTCGAAAACTATAGAGGTATTTCTAAATTATCCGCTATACCTAAAGCTTTTGAGAGAATTATAACATCTCAACTGCAGCATTTATGTAGTTCTATTATTTCACCTTCCCAGCATGGGTTCGTGAAGCGCAGATCTACAACCACTAACCTTCTTGAGTTTACTTCGTTTGTAATTGATGGGTTTAAGAAAAGAAAGCAGACTGACGTCATCTATACTGATTTCAGTAAGGCTTTCGACTCTGTCAACCATTCCTTGCTGCTTCATAAATTAAGCCTTCTCGGCTTCCCAGTCAATCTTTTGAACTGGATTTCAGAGTATTTGCGTGACAGAACCCAAAAGGTTCTTTTCAGAAATTCATTCTCTAAACGTATTCTGGTGACTTCCGGTGTTCCTCAAGGTAGTCATCTTGGCCCGCTACTCTTTACTCTTTTCATCAATGACCTTCCCTCGATACTGTCTCACTCTCGAGTATTAATGTATGCTGATGATGTAAAATTATGCCTTGCATATAAGGATATGGCATCATGTTATCTCTTACAAGCGGACATTGATGCGTTTCAGGCTTGGTGTCTAGCCAACCTGTTAAGCTTAAACTGCTCTAAATGTAAGGTAATGACCTTCTATAGAAGCCCTCCTCAATTGGTTTCTTACAACCTTGACAGCATACCGCTTGAGCGTGTTAATAGTACTTCTAATGAAGTTAATGATCTAGGTGTCATCCTTGATCATAAACTTAAATTCGACTCTCATGTTAATACCGTGGTCAATAAGGCCAGAATAGTTATGGGTTTCATCAAGCGATGGTCGAAGGAGTTTGACGATCCGTACACGACAAAAACACTTTATATATCTTTGGTACGACCTATTCTTGAGTATGCCTCATGTATCTGGTCACCACAATATGCTACCCATCAGGACAGAATTGAATCCGTTCAGAAACAATTCTTGTTGTTTGCCCTTAGTGGTTTAAATTGGGATCCTCGTGTGCGGTTACCGTCATACTCCAGTAGACTTCTTGTTGATTAACCTTCCTTCTTTAATTAATCGTAGAACCATGCTGGGTGTAATATTTATTCATAAATTAATTACTGGTGAAATCGACTCTTCTGTGTTGACTAGCCAATTAAATTTCTCTATCCCTACTAGACTAACACGTAATTTTGTACCTTTATCGCTTCAATTTTGCTCAACTAATTATGCCTTGCATGAACCGTTCAGGGTTCTCTGTGATGACTATAACAAGCATTACAGAGTATTCTGCTCGGAAGCTTCTCTTCCTCGTATAAAGTCTTCTATTCTAAACTATTTAGCAAGTAGATAGTCCTATCTTTATTTGTAATTGTATTTGTACACATACTCGTAGTTTGTATCGACTTTTTCTTTAATATTTTTTTTTCATATTTACTTTGCATTTCGTGTCGTACGTTACACGACTGCGCCCCTCGGTCGGTTGGGCGGGAGGTGGGATGCAGTACGTTGCATCGGGATTCGCGTTAAAAAAAAAAAAAAAAAAAAAGCCGTGGCCAGTTAGGCCAGTCGGCCAGGCGGCTGGCTGAGTGCATTCGTAGCTCATTCATGTTTGTTTGTTTTTCGAATTTTTTCTCATGTTCATATCACTCTTAAGGGCTTTAAGAGGCAACAGCCAAACAATAAACAGGCATAGGTAAAGCGGCTTAAATGCAGCCTGCCGTAGGTAAGGCAGGCAAATATTAAGTCTTCAAATCTAAAAAACCTAGCTGTTAGTTTGAAGTTTTTCAGCTTAGTTCTATGAATATAGTAGATTGATGGCTAAAGGGTATGCAAGTATACACTTTAGGCACACATAGTTGAAACTACTGACTCAACTGCTCATTAAATAGAACTCAATTTAATTAATTAAATCGGCAAATTTAAGACGCACTTAATCTAAATAAGTGTCTGATTGCTCCGAATTACGTAGAAGTTTGTATAGCTTGCTAAACTAAGCAGCACTCAACAGTTGCGGGTGGACAGGGTGGCTGGGCCTGGGGGGTTCCGTGTCGATGATAAACAATGGGTTTCCGCTGTCTGCCTGGATAATATGAGAGTCGAACTTAAATGAACAATCGATGTTATCTGCCGTAGCTGCCGTAGCTGCCGTAGCTCCACGAATCACTTGGCCAGTGTGCACGTTTTTATGGAAGGTACTTAAATGGGGGAGCTCTGGAACTTTAGCGCCGAGTTAATGCGTTTTATCAATTGAGTTCCATCAAATGAAACACTTTGTAGCGAGAAGTGAAAGCGGAATGAAGCCAAATAAATTGGATTCCTCAAACGGAATGGGCGCCCAAAAGTTAGTTAGTGGCGCTCCGGCAAATAACCCCTCGCCGCATAAATTAGTTGCACGCTTCGATACGAGAATACAATCTCATTGCCCTAAAAGTATTTATTGCCTCAGTTTGGAAAAAAAAAAACGTTGAAGGAGGCTGCCAGATTAAAGGTGTGTTCCCCGCAGGCTTGACTGGCCTGCTTTGTGTGCTGCTCTAACCTGGCTTTCATTATGTTGCAGCAAATGTCCCAACGAGATGCAGTTTTTAATTTCTCCTTTGATGCTTCAGCCTTGGCATTTCTGTACCCTGTGGACTTAATTATGGGCATGAAGGGAATGCTGAACTATGAAATTGTTTTGCAACATGCATACTAAAAATTGAATATTAACCAATCGAACACACTTGTATCTGTGTAAACAGTGTCATTTTTTTAACTCTCCTTGAGTTTTTACACACCAGCACCAGGATCAAATAAATTAGTGATAATTTAATAACAGGACACGCATTCAAGAAACTTTTTTAAAGGTAATTGGCTAGTCGGTCAATCTTGACTAGAACATTCTTTGATTATGCTCTTTGTAAAGCCGCTTCGAGCTCACAAGAATTACGCCTAATTGAAAGGTAACCCGACACTCGGCAAAAAAATAACTCTCGGGTGTTGGTTTTTCAATAAATTAAGTTAGCATTTATTTATAGCACACTGAACATTTAACTGGAATCGTATGGAATATTATATTTGAGAATCATATGTATTTATTTCATATGGTATATTCATATATGTCGCGTTTATACACATATATCTTGGAAAGTATGTTAAAATCTGAACAGCACACAACATTAACATTTCAATAAACATTTATGGATTTACTATATTTAATACGCATTGTGCAACTATTTGGTTTTGGTTTTTTTTTTTTGTAATTATGTAACTTTTGGAGATTATATGGAATTTTAAAGGTACAACTCTCAATTTAATTCTCGGCGATAATCTTTCTACACGGCAGCTATCGCAATTTGGCCTTCTGATATATGTAGTATATATGTATGTAGACATTATTTATAACAAATAGACACAAATTTTATCTAGTATGAGATACTTTACTGCTCTGTCTTTGGACTAACTACTTAAAATCGATTTATGTGGAATATGCTTAAGCCAAAGAGTACTTAGTAGTTGAAACTATTCTATGTACATTTATAATTTATAGTTAATTTACTTGTTCAAACGGAAGAAGCTAAATTTATTTTGGTTTAACCAAACACTTTTCATCGTATTTTATCTGTGAGCTTTTAACTAGAAGCTTACATTTGTTCAGCATTGTTCTTAACTTGGCTTAGTGCCTACTTCTCTAGGGTGTCTCTTTAGACCCTCGCATCGCTGTATTCGATGCGCACCGTGCGCCGCGGTCGCTGCCCTGGCATTGAATGGGGATTCTTCTCGTTGGTCGCCAGGCTGCGCAGCGCCAGCAGCTCCCGCGGCTACAATTGCGTGCGCTTGGCCCCGCCATTGCTGGCTGAGGTTGGGACCTCGCCGGGAGCCTCGACGTAGGAGTAGGAGGGCGTTTCCATGACTAGCGGATGGCAAATCTCGTAGACGGGCACCTTCAGGCTCGTCTTACGCAACCCGCCCAAGCTGCTCTGCGAGCTTGAGCTGGGCCCAAATGAACGTCATCTGGACTCGTTGCCCAGTTCCGAGTGCGAATGATGTAGCTCGCTCTCATCGCCAAAGCTGTGTGCCGCGGCACTGGGCGTAATGCTGGGCGTGCGCCCCTGAATGCGTACAGCAGACATATCGGAGCCACGGCGAGAGCTCTTCAAGGAAACACTCTGGCGGGAGCAGAAGCATCGGCATATGATGCGCTTGAATGCAAAGCGAAAGTCCTTAGAGAAGAGCGCATATATCATAGGATTCACCGCCGAGTTACAGTAGCCCAGCCAGAAAAGCACCGAAAAGAGTAGCGGATCAACGCAGTCCTGACAGAAGGGTCTGATTATATAAATCGTGAAGAACGGAAACCAGCAGAAGATGAACATGCCCACAATAATGGCCAAGGTCTTTGCCGCCTTCGTCTCCATGCGAAAGCGCTTCACCTGCGCCTTGATATTCCGTCTGCCCATCTTTTTGTTGGCGGTTCGCGGATGAACCCCAATGCCGCCAGCCTCGCTGCTGTTGCTCTGGCGTCGCGCCAGCTCCGGCAGCGCCTTGCTGACCTGTAAATAGCACGTGCTGCCGCCATGATGCTGCTGCCTATACAGTTGAGATTCGGTGGACTCGCGTCCATGGGCGCCATTGTAGTGTACGGAGAAGAGGGCATTGCTGGAGGTGCGCCGCGATTCATGGGTCGTCTCCGGCTGCGTCAGCTCGTTGATATTCTCGCTAGATGGATACGACACAGATATCTTGATCTTGTCATGATGATGATGTAGTCTTCGCGTCGCATATTTGCTCAGGCGCTCCGGCGACGGGGTCCCGAGTGTGGTTGTGGTGCTCTGTGTGCTGCCATTGCTGTGCATCGAGTCCTGCTGGTTAGAGCCACGCCCGCGATGTATGCGCAGCGTCAGACGCTGCTCCTCAAAACGTGAGCCAATGCCCTTGGAGCCTGCCAAATGGGAGAAATTGAATTAACATTAGTTTGCTGCTGCACACAATACACATAATGTTTCCTGTCTTATTGAATATCGTTCCCGCTGTTACACCCCCTGCACACCATGCACCCATTTCAATACGTTGCCATTGCCATTGCCTAAACTGCTTGGCGTAACCGTGTCATGTCTTGGCGCTCTGCCAGGCTGCACTTTAGTAAATTAAACGCGTAATTATGCAAATGTCTTAGCATAAACGCGCCAAGCACTCAATGCTGAACCCCTGTCTCGCCGCCTTCCTTGGCAGCAAAACTGTCCTGCTCTACGTCTTAAGCTGTCTTCAAAGCGAACTTTATTTCATTAACACACATACATTTGCATAATTTCACACACACACACACGCGTACACACTCTAACATTGATGTTGCGTGGGCCTTGCTGCTGCCCGTTTTGCATTTATTACTCATACGCACGTTTAACAGCTGTATAAATTTTCATTACATGCCGCGTGAATGTAATGAATAATCAGCACAATAATGCCATGTCATGCTGATTGTTACGCTGTTCAATTATTTATGGCTGCCTGATATGCCACAAGCCGCTGGCTGCTCTGTCCTATTGTTGCACGTTTGCACTGGGCTTGACCTATCCCGACACTTTAATGGATATTGGATACAAGCACCTCGACTGTTTGATGTTGAAATACTTCAATACAATCGCAATGCGATACAATTAATTGCATAGTCCACATTACTGTAGCTGAGGTGAGGTCTGGAAATGTACAGAAACACGGACACTAATGAAAATTCCCGATAAGCTACCTCAAAAGTGAAAAGTTGGTGTTGTGTCATTGTAGAAGAAGAGTACATTCAGTACATTCAGACTTATTAGTTGTATCTCTGATAAGAGCTTTAAGCACAGTTCAGCTTTAAGCAATCTTCATAATATGTAATACAATAAATGCAACTGAACTCCTTTTAGGTATAAATCCTTAAGGTCTTAAAATCTGAGCATCGGACTAACAGGCGAGAAGTTGCAGGTTCAAATCCAAAAACACCGAATGCACTGAATGCTTTCAAGTAAAATTAATTTTGTCTATTTGCTTGACCATATCATTAAGTTAAACTACTCAGAATCAATTCGGTTGAAGTCGCATTCCTTATGCTGTAAATAATCAGACTAACATACGAGAGGTTGCCGGTTCAAATTCAAAAAAACCGAATGCACTCAATACTTTCAAGTGAAATTAATTTTGTCTATTTGCTTGATCAAATCATTAAGTTAAACTACGCAGAATCAATTCGGCTGTACTAGCTCTCATATATTGTAAATACTTTTCTTATGCCGCATGAATTAACTCCAATTATTTTGGCTTGAACAGAAGGTGTTTGTGGTGTTTGTGTTTATGTTCAGCAGTGTTGGGTTTGTTATTACCTTTGTGTGTTTGTTTTTGTGTGCCTGCGGAACTGCTGTGTCTTCCAATTGCTCTTATTATAAATTACCTTTTATTTTGTCGGCGCTCGTTTTTTGCTCTTTGTTTGCTTTCATTTTTATTGAAAATGCTGTTCACCTAACCAAATTATTGGCTGATAAACACATACACACATATATGCACATAAATACTAGTATGTAACTCATGTAACTGAACGGATTCACTTTGCCAACGGCAAAATTGAACAAATGGGGCCTGCTTAATATAGTTAACTCTAAGTACTTAACTGAAAGTGTGTTGGTTATCGTTATGTCACATTAATTAGGCTTAAAATAAAGGTATAGGTGTAAGTAAGTATATGTATGCCTTATGCCTAGTTAAATACGTGAAAATTATTGCCATAAAGTTACAACGTTGTTCAATGCGAATACTGTCAATGTCAATTGGGCTGGCGGCGTTTACAAAAGTACAAAAGCGAAATGCATTGCCTTATGTCAAGTATTTGTAAGTAGTTGTTGTTGTTGGTGCTGCTGCTGCTTTGGCCTGCTTAGAGCACACGACCCTTGCAGAAGCCACCGCGCCGTATACGCCTGGTGCTGCCCGTGGTATCCACATCGCCATCCCTAGAGCTGGCTTCCTGCGGCAGCGAGGCAGTGCGCTGCAGCGGACTCGTCTCGTAGTTGCCGATTAGTCAGCTAAAGTCGACACCGTCGCCATCATCGGAGCAGCCCGAAATGGTTTTGTGGAATGTGGCGGGTGCCATTAGCGCCCGTGCGGCAATCATCTGGAAATTCTCAGAGGCTCGGAAGCCGCTGCGAGTGCAGACGCAGCGGCAGACAATGCGCTTGAAGGCAATGCGAAACTCGTGCGAGAAGAGCGCATAGATCACCGGATTGATGGCCGAGTTGCAGTAGCCCAGCCAGAACAATACCGAGAATACCGTCGGCTGTATGCAGTCCTCGCAGAAGGCGCGTATCAGATACATCGTAAAGAAGGGCAACCAGCAAACTATGAAGCCGCCAACAATAATGGCCAATGTCTTGGCTGCCTTTGTCTCCATGCGAAAGCGCTTCACTTGAAACTTGACACTGCGTTTGCCGGAGCGTTTCTTGGCCGACGTCGAGCCGGACGAAATGCCACTCTCCAGATCAGCTGCTGCTCTACTGGCTGTGTCCAAATTGAACGTCGTTTCGCCAATATCGAAGAGGCTGCTCTTAAATGAGGCGCGTCGTCCGTTGGAAAGATTGCTGGCGCCGCCTTTGGTGCTGCTGCTGATCACTGCATAGTGGGGCGCGGGTGGCTGCTGCTGCTGCGTAGTACCCAAACGTGGTGAGTCCAACACGTTCTCCGAGGAGGGAAAAGACACCTTGATGGCCACCTTCTCGTGCCGCTGACGATTCACGCGCATCGAAGTGGCTCGCTTGGGCGTGCCCAGCTGGGAAGCCGGCACCGACTGCTGATCCTCACTCGCGGTGCCCGGGTTAGTTCCAGGTGCTCCATTACTGTTCACACTCAGCGTCGAGGACATGGAGTGCACGGAGAGTGGCGTACGCTGTGGTGTGCCGCAAGGTCGGCCGCGATGGATGCGCAAGATTAGCTGGGAATCGTCCACGCGATTGTTGCCCCCCGATTCGCGCGGGCTGCCTGCAATAAGTTGGTGTGGGAATTTGGCAGGAAGTCGAAATGGAACTCAATAAAAATTTCACATGGAATGCAATCACATGAGGTTGTTTTGGTTGTTTGTGTTCGGTGTCGTCGTGAAGACATGAAAACATTTAGCTTGTATCATACATGAGCTGGTGTGTGCGTGATTTTTGTTTGCTTCAGTATGGATTGATTGTATTGATTTTTGATTATTTGTGTTTTCATTGGTTAGAGACAAACAAAATTGTAGTAATTAAGGCTAGCACACATTAGCATAAAACGGGTATCTAACTACGTACGTTAACATATAGATAATTGTAGCAAAATTTTTGAATTTATCTTTAATTATAAAATTATATACACTATTACAATATATTATAATATAGTATATGAATGTATAAAGATTTGTCATTTCTGAATACCAATTTTCATATCATTTTATAGATATGTAGAGTCTACTTTTTGGAGCATGCTAGAAAAATTTAAGTTTTTCTATATTTTTGAAGAGATCAAAAAAGTATGCTGCAATAAATTGTGTTCGAATCAATAGGAAGTAGAAAAGACAACATATGTACAAACTTATCTAATTTGATTTGATTGGGTTTTGGAAAATATATATTAAAGATCAATGTGTTTGTCAATTTGCTGTAATTTTTTTTTATATATTTGTATTTGCCGGCACGTGTTGTGGCCTAAGGGTATGCGCTGGGTCTAATAAATTTGGGTTTTCTCATTGTCATTTGGTTATTTACATAATATGTAACAAAACTGAATTAATTAACGCGGAAAATGTCATTAATTTATGTAATAGAAATGCGTCTATAATTTCGTATTCGAATGTCAGTCGGAGTTACTATCACCATAATTGGATTATTTAATACAGTCAGTAGAAAATAATCACAATATTGTTGATAACAACATTTCACCAATTTTTTATCTGCAGACAAGAAATCAAGATATAAAAATTCGGATTGAATATGTTTTATTTTTTTACACAAATCCGAACACTCAATATGGTAAACAGCTGCCATGCGCATTAATATTGGCAAAAGCAAATGAAATAAATAATTGAGAGTAGTAAAATATGGAAAAAATTGCATTTGCTTGAAAACAAACAAGAAACCATACGGCATTATGAAAATGTAAATACAGAGGAGAAGCTTTTCATAAAAGAGCCGAACAAAAGAGAAGAAAATCCGTTTTAAAGCTTTTAATAAATTTGAAAGAATTCGAAAAAGGAAAACGTTGAAACGGTAAATATTTCCATTAATGTGAATATGAAAACTATTTTATATTTATTCCTTGATGCGGAAGGCTTGCGTACGGCCGCAGGCATTGAGTGGGATATATGTGCATATTTAAGTATAAGCGTGGGCAGCTCCGCAACCAAACAAATAACAAACAAACAAAAATGTTTTTTTTCCGCCTAAATTATTGAAAATGGAAATGGAAATGCCACGCAATATGCAAATGTGTCGCTGCCAACATCCACCCACAGAAAAGGAATGACAAAAACAAAAAGACAGAAAAAAAAAACACAAGCAATTGATTTACATATGTTTATAAAAATACCATTTCATCGGACATTGAAGCGTAATTGATTTTGTTGCTGCTTCAAATAATTATAAAATTAATTACTCGTCAATTGCTGTTATTTGCAATCTACTTTAAATTTATTGTTGTAAACACATTTAAATGTTTAATTAGTCAGATTGATGTGGGTTTTGTGACATTTTGTTTTATTTTTTTTTTTGCAAATTGACCTTTGAATCGATACTCTAGAGAATCTAAGCCAAGTGAATCTGATGCCAGTGAAAGTCGAGGTGAAATCTGAGACAGGCTGGCGTGAAAGTTGCCACGCCTGCTGCTGACACGGGGCCAGGGCCAGGGCCCATTGAAATTGAAATTTTAAAAGCCCTCAGTTTGTGTGCAACTGGCGCAACAACAATAACAGGCTCAAATGCCACGCCTGACACTCTCCTATTGCTGCTGCTACTACTGCGTATATTTTAATAGGCAACGCCATGAACCTCAGCTAGTTTTTGAACTTGAAACTTGATTACCTTCAAAAGCCACTAAAGGGCGAGTGGGCCATATAGGAGAGCTACCCAAACAACAACAACGACAGCAGCAACAAAAACAACAATAACACGCCCCCGCATTGTGTCACGAAATGTTTTTAGACTATTGCGTTTCGTGTTGTGTGTTAAAACTAAGACCGACGCGGCAAGTGAAAGAAATGAAGACACGCACGGCAAGTGGCCAGGACAAAAACTATAACAACCTCAGCGCCATTGTGTCTGCATGAGTGCAAGAGTGTGTACGAGTGTGTGTGCCTATGTGTGTTCCAAGGCTGTCGCATGATGTTCTGCAAGCGGCTGTTTCTGAAAATCTGGGCTTTGTCTTCAAAACAGCGCCAACTAAGGACACGCCAGCTGCTAAACAAGCCGGCACAACAACAACAGAGCCTAAAACTAGACACATAGAAAACAACACGATGTCATCGTTTGCCAGCAAAATAGTATTTAGGTCATAATTAGCTACATTTAAGAGCCACGCCTTTAATGCTAATGACATTTCGAATCACGTCAACCACTTAAATTCCACGTTGGTGATGAAAGTAGGGCAAAATATTGTTGATACAGCAAGCCTCGACGTTACAGTGTATCATAACAATGCATAACACTTTTTATACCTCAATTGTAGTCTAGGGTGTGTGTATATCGACTTCGTACTTTCTTGATTAATTGTGCACACGCCAGTGCTGAATATCTCTATCAAGTGTGTGCTTCAGTTGTACTGCGAGTTTAATCTGTATTTGCTTAATAGCGCCAGGGTAAACAAGTGGATTCTATCCTGGAAACGAAATATACAAAAACTTTTTCTTGTTTTCCCTGTAATATCTATTAATTTTAATAGCTGTTGGGCTTAGCTGATCCCAGCGAAATTATAGCAACTTTTATTATAATAGAAAAAAAATTCAAATTGTATGTTACTCTCCGGACATTAAACTGTCATTAGGCTTCGGGCAAATTGTAAGCACTTTTGACTGGGCTTTTATTTTGGGATTCGCACCAGAGTAGCTGCCCTGGGTGCACAATTAGCAGGAGCATTGAACGCATGAAACGCGGCATATTGATTTTTATTATACAACCAGTAAGTTAGTCAGCCAGTCAGCCAGTTAGTCAGTTGGCCCTGTTGTTTGGCTCAGATTAAAGCCAACGCGTGCGCTTGGCTTGGCAAAACTTTTCCAGGTAGACCCCAAGTCGACGAGATTAAAAACCCAACTAGAATTGTGCCCAATGAGCTGATCAGCTGGAAGAAAGTGCGCTGCACGATTGGCAAAATACTGCGCAACTAATGAGCCACATTTGAGAAAACACATACACAAGTGTACGAGTTGGACGAGTAATTCATAGCAATTTCAAGCAATACTTACTTCAAATAAAAGTACCAGGAAAAGGCAAAACCAAAAATATATAATTTAACACAGCAGCAGGCAAAAATGCTAGAGCCCAAACTCGTTTCTATCATGCGGAATTTTGTATTCTTGCTTCCCTAATGGCTGAAGTTTTTTCATTCCATTTCATTAATGCTGCTTTTGGCCTAAGCCGATTTGTTTGATGTGTTCTCTCATGTTCGTAAAGGAGAAACAATGCCAATTAATGCAGGGATCTTAAACGAAATATTGGCACACAAAAAGAAGACTTCACTTATGTGAAAGTGTCTTAATTCTAGGATTGAACTGAATTTAAAAGTATTATGTGTATGACGGGAAAATGGGGCTTTAACTTAATTTAAAGGGAAAGCTCTACATAAAGGGGGGCTTTCAAATGTTCTGAGTAGTATTATTGACAATTTTCGGTTTTGGGGTAATATTTAACTTTGCATATATAGTATTTTTAGAGCATTACTTAAATGGGTATACTAATTAAGATAAGTACTAAACTATAAGCTACAAAAATGCACATTATCATAAGACAGTTTATAATATTTTTTTTAGGATTTTAGTTACAAGGATTTAGTATACAAATTGAGAATATTTAAATTATTTTAATCATTTTTTTACTGTAGACTTAATCAAATTTTAACTTGCTTTTTCCATTTACACTTGAATTTTCACTTAGAGCTCTATTTATAGATGTTTGTTTTTATTTATTTATGTTATTAATAGCGTTGTTTGTTTATTCATAATGTACCGAGTGCAGAACACAAAAACAAAATGCCGACAAAAAATGTGTGTGGTTATTTATAAATGTAAATTTGGTTATTCGCCATTTTTTTAGAACAATCTGTGGTAATTTATTCAATTACTAATTGCAATTGTTGTTGGACCGAAAAAAAACGAAGTTAGACACGGGACATATACGCACATACAGCGAGATGAACTTCTATATACTTGACTGCCAATATGTTAGGATAACTTATATAAATAGTCCTGCTTCGGTAACCGATACCGAATCATTTTTTCAATTTTGTACATTAAGAAGGATGCCAGCTAAATTATAATTGTCAATTTTATGTAGACGGCACTGCAATGATTCGGAATTGGAATTCGAAAAAGGTCTAGTAACTTATATTCATGGATGTGTTTAGCCTGGTTATTATTGACAATGGCTCTGGTGTATCATATGTAAAATGTGTATGTGTGTATATGTGTGTGTGTATATTTCATGGACTCATTTTTGTTCATTTTGTTGTGATGTTCTATTATTAAATCAAAAAAACGGGGGGCAAAGACGTCACACAACAATTCTACACGTTTAGAGCTTGAAAATTGATTAACAGTCGATATGAAAATTGAGGATTAAATTGTAAGTATTTATATGTACGAACTACGACCGCTACGTGGGTTACATAATTTACTGTTTAAGAGTATCAAATTGAATTGAGTGAGAATTATTAGAAAATATGAAAGGGACAAAACTTTTAGCTACGCACAAGTTGCCATACATTTTGTGAATGAGAATTTAAAAAAATGTGTCCAAATGTTAGCTACCGATCTTGATGTTCACACTACTATATAAAGGATATTTTTATTACTCACCCTTTGTGGTCTTGAAGCCCTGATTAATGGCACGCGTGGTGCGTACGGCGGCTCGATAGATGCGCCAGTAGAAGAAGAGCATTACAAACATGGGTATATAGAAGGAGCCCAGTGCCGAGTAGAGCACATAACCTCGATCATTGGTTAGCTCACACTTCCAGGGGCAACTTGTTGCCGGCTGTGGCACATTAACCGCTGGAGCATTCAACAGATCATAATCCATTGCTGTGCTAGGCGAAATTGTGCTTGCTGTTGTAGTGGTTGTCCTTGCTGTTGATGTTGTTGTCGTCGTCATGGCTGCAATATGTATCTCGGCGGAGCCGTCGATTGGCGCAAAGTTGGGATCGTATGGATTGTAAGCATTGCCATTGGCATTGCCATTTTCAATAATCAGCGAGGCAGCAGCCTCCTCCTCCTGCTTTTGCTTAATTCTACCTACATCTAGTTGCCCATCCTGTGTACTTGACATTGTGGTGGCATAGTAAAGCGTATAGTTTCCCCGTGTGTAGGTCGGTTGTACCATGGCCTGAAATGCACACGAATATTTATATGTAGAGATAATCTTTGACGGGTTTTTATTAAAAGCTTTATCATCCGGCTAACCCATTGAAGTGCTAGTATATATGATATTTGACGGGTTATATTAAAAGCTTTGTCATCCAGCTAACCCATTGAAATTCTAGACTCGCACACAAAAATTTCTGACTCACACATTGCTCACAATAAGCCAATAAAAATGCAACTTAAAGCGGTTTATTTTGCAAAAGATATTCCGGGACGTGTTGTGCATAAAAATTATGCTAAGGTGTAGCATACATTTGGGCGCCAGGAACCGGATATACATATGTACTACATGTATATACAACATGTGAAAGTCTAGTCGGCTTAGGGATACCCTGCTTCACAGGTATGTCCCCGTTAATATGCTGCGAAGTTTAAAGGCTTCGGAATAGTTTTAAATTTAATCAAATATCTATTCATAGCTGACCTCTATTGCTTAAACATATTTACATCCGAACTGTATTGTAATGTATGAATAGCACACCCCTTTTTGGCATATCAGAAATGCAGGGTATCCTTAAGTGGAAAGCGTATTAATAAAATGAACCCCAAACAGTTTAAAGCTTCATACGAATGCCAAGGGCGACATTTGAGCGGGATACATATAAAAATATATATATATATATATATGATATGCTCTGTCATCTGCAGAATTGGCAGGGGTAAATATACACCTGAGTGGAAATTGAATGGAGCCTACTGAAAAGAGAGCTGGCTGAGCTGCTCGCAACAGCGAGATAATAATAATCAATACCACCTGCCGCTGTCTCGTAAATCGAGCTTCAATTATGCTCAAAAAGTGAGTCCAAGGCTGACGGGAGACTGTAATGCAATGGCAAACAGAACTGAACAGGAATGCATTCATGTGATACTGTACGTTTATGTGAATGCGGCCGATGGCAGCTGTTGCAAGTTGAATGGAGCATTTCGATGGGCAGCTGCCATTAAGATTAAGCGTACAAACAGACAAAGATTGCCTCAAGCTATGAGAGATTTATGTTCCATAGATGTGCTGCCCGAATGACAAACATATTTGTAGGTAGTTCCCACTTGTCAGCTGAATCTCTTCATTACCTACAAAGTTGAAACAATATGGCCAGTAAATTCGACCCAACTTGGCCTAAGGCTCATTGGACAATAACAACAAGCACTCACACACACACTCGCACATGCTGTGGACAATAAAGTGTTTCAGGAAGTCGTAATTCGTTGGCCCAGTTAGTTGCCATATCGCTGCTGATCTGATTACCCGAGTACAGGGCGCACACACATGAATTATGCCATGCTGTCTGTTGGCTGGTTCTGTCTGTGTTGCCTTTCCTGCATGAGTGGCACATCATTATCATTGCCATAACATAAGACTCTTTATGCATGTGTGCCAAAAACGACAACACAAAAACCTTCGCTCTGCCGGCACAAACGAGCCAAAAAAGCTAGCAAAAAGGACAAGAAAGGCTACACTTGATATGACTACCTGCAGCCATGAAAATTGTGAAGAGAGTTGTATAGCTGAGCAGCTGTGCGCGAGAGGCGGAAGGATATACATGAATGCCTCCATGGATTTATGGGATAAGTAAAATGTTGTAGCTGACTTATGAACCTATAACGATTGTGCGATATAGAAAAAAGCTAATATATAAAGTACGAAGAGGGTATTTTTGTTCTAGTTACAGGGTATTTACCATTCATGCACGTTTATCTAAAGAAATTTTACTGCTTTTACGGGCATGTTGACACAAATGAGCCACATGGCAGGCTTAGCAGCCTTTCAACGTTTGCCACATTTTCATGCTGCTGGGCAGCGGTTTTGGCCGAAACTTTAACTTGCAACGGTGTCAATGACAGGTCCTATTGAGACCATGGCTGTCCAAAGGGTCGCCCAAGCGTCTAACTGCGGTTTCTTTGTAGTTGCCTGCGAGACGGTTGCATGCCGAAAACAGTTTTTCTGCTTTCAATTTAGTTCAGTGAAGCACATTGCACTTTAATTTATTGTAATTGTGGGTGGGTTCATGTGCGTTAGTGTGTGTGTGTGTGTGTCAGTTGTGGGCTGCTTACCTTTTGATCTTTCCAGCCAACTAAAGGCGGAAAGCATATAACAAATGAGAGTACCCAAATGCCGGCGATTAAGGACTTGGCCTTCTTCGTTGACATTATGCTTGGATAGGTGACGGGTCGCGTGACTGCCACGTAGCGATCCAAAGATATGGCACATAGATTCAGTATCGATGCCGTGCACATCCAGACATCCACCGCTAGCCAAATGCGGCACCAGACGTCGCCAAATATCCAAACCTGCAATTAGAAGTTTGTTTTTTTTTTTGTATTTTTCAACATTTTAAAGAGCACGCTGCAATTACCTTGAACACCTCCCAGGTGGCCGAGAATGGTAGCACCGCCAGGCCCACTAGTAAATCGGCAACGGCCAAGTTAACGATGAAAAAATTGGTAACACTGCGTAATTTGTTTGAACAGAAGACGGCGGCAATTACAAGACAATTGCCGCCAATGACCAGTACGTTGATAAACTCGAGTATGGCCAGAGAGATCAGGTTCGCCGGTTCCGTCCATTTCACAGATTTAATGAGATCCTCACACTCTGTCTCATTCATGGCGGTACTTTTGTGATGGGTGTATATTTGTGTTCACCACCTGCAAGCCAATTTAATAAGAAACAGCGAGCATTACTAAAAGCCCATTCAATGCATAATTAGCTCTGTGCTTTAGGCCACAAAGGCGGTGCGTGGTCGGCATGCTTAATTAATTATTTTATGAAAATACGTAGATACCAGATGAAAAGCTCAAGTGCTAGAAGCAAGGCCAACAGAATAATGGCCAAAGCAAATAGGTGTTTGTTATGTGGGTCGGAGAATTTTGTAATATACCTTTTGAAAACTTAAATGAATGCCCAGCGGGGAAATGCCGCTCGGACGCTGACTGGCAAAACCTGGTTAACATGGCTAACGGAAAGACTTACCAGCTGTGAAATTGCTTAGCCATAAGCCATAAGCTAGACCAAAATGCCACTCAACTGGGATTTACAAATAATAACAGGCTAAGTGCTTGCGGAAACGGAAGCTATGACATTTCAGTACTGCAACCGTGGCACAGCCAGAGGTGAACACAGAGTGGGTGCTGTGCAGGTGGAGGAGAAGGGGTTTGGCGAGTTTAGCACTCGCCATTCAGTTGGCGTGCACATTGCAATTTAATTGCGGCCATTAATTGTCATCGTTTTAGCCATGTTTATCAAATGTACTTAGCACTCGTCATACTGAATTTATGAATGAACTCGAATGCAAACTCGGATTGCCATAGCGAGTGCTATCGGCTCATCAAACATGCTATAAATACAACGCAAATTCGTAATACACACACTTAATATTTGTGCTCAATTTGGCCACACTAATCAATATTTGTGGCGAGCAGCAGTTGAAATTATTTTCGACTTTAATGCTTGGGCAGCAAAAAGGCAACAAAGAACATCACTTCATATTGGGCTTAGGTGACTTAATTACGGGGAATGAAATATTCAAAGCACGCAATAAATCGATTAAATATTATTTAACTTAAGTACTCGCATCAGAGCTGCTTCAATTTTTAATAGACTCACATTTTGTCGCGTTAGAGCACAGCTGCTACACCTTCGAGGCTTGCCAAATGTTTTGTTTACATGCCTAGATTCACAAGGAATCAAAGCAGTTAACAATTGCTGTTGCTGCTGTAGACCTTGAAAGGTCGCCAATTGTGCACTTGTAGTCGTAATTACTTTCTTACTGCTGTTCAGTATTGAATGTCACAGTCATTTCCCACAGCAATCGATTGGGCTTAAGTCATTGTCAAGGAAAAAGCTGACGTTGCTCGAAATTAGCTATTCAAAATAAAAGTTGTCTTGCCTTTTTTTTGCACTGTCAACTAATTTTCTTGCCCGTCAAATTGATTAATGTCTAATAAAGTTTTGAATATCTAACAAGCATAAAAAATGCTTATATGTTCCTGATAAGCATCAACAGCCAAACAGATATATTGTTTTTTGTCCGTCTTTTTCCTTGAACGTTAAATTTCAGGGTCTTTAAAAGCTAGAGATATCGCAGAATAAATAATTAATATTCCATACAACATTTGGGTGCTTTCTCTGCTTAAAAAAAGTAAAATGATAACCAAAACTTTTTTAAAAAATTCGATGAGTTGGCTTCGAATACAGGTGAGTGAGTGTAGTTTTGTTTTAGCCGAAGGCCTTTAAAGGCTTTTATAATAATAATATTATATAATAATAATAATATATAATAATAATATAATATAAAAAGAAGGATATTGACCTAAAATAAGGGTATATTCAAAGCGAGTATCCCTAATCTGAGTTTTCGTATTTGCCTTTAAGTCTTGTTATCTTCTGCACAAAGTTAAATTCTTAATAATGGTATTCTGGGTTTATGGGCCAAATGGTTACACAAAACTTTTGCCCGCAAGCAGCATTTGTCCTTATCCATAAAGCAGTGCAGAAAATGATATACAGTTACAAAGAATATATTAAAATAATAAAATATAAAAGTTCCTTGCAAGAGGTAGCAGAAATTATCACTACTTGTTACGCGGGTATCATTGTCTACAAAATTTCAGCAGAACTAAGTGTATTAAAGAACGGGGCTGTTGTGGGCTCACAATAAAAGCAATCAGTGGCTCTCAGTGCGGTTGGAAGGCAGCAGAAATTACACACATGACAAACAATATATGTAGTAAACAAGCCAGAAGAGGAAGCCTTTGTGGCCAAGGCTGCCAAAAATGTTGTAGGGCGCCGAGTTTGGGGGAAGGTATGGCATGCGCCAAAGCGAATTTTGTGAAGCGGCGAAAATTAAAAGCATATACGAGAGTTTTCCATCCTAGTGCAATATTTGTCATTTCATTCTCGTACAAAATTCGCGTGGTAAAAGTGGCTTTATGGCAGCTAATAATGAAAAATGGCCAAATTGAGTTACAAGTTGAAATTTGCTAACATTAAATTCTTGTGCATGATAAATAATTGACATTTAAAATGAACAGCGTCTATAAATCCCAAAAAAAGAAACATTTCCCTCCAACCCACACGACGCATACGCAATTTTTCCCTTTTCGTAACGCATTCGCCCAGTTGACGAAGGATTTTCAGCCGTCGGCATGAAGCGTTCGGGCATGGCAGGGCAACGGTAAATATCAGGCCAGAATGTGCTCAATTTAATTACAGATGCATATAAAAGTTGTCTGGATTTCGAAATGGCCATTTAATTGAGAGCCGACGCATAAAATTTCAATAAAAGGAAATCTATGTAAATGGAAATATATTCAACTGTAAATAATCTTAATTCCGCACCTAGAAAGAATATTTGATTGACTAAAATCAGACACAAGTTATTGAGTTCAAATTATAAGCAACTGGAAGCTCAGTGCGTATAGATTTTGCATGAAATTACTTTTTTAAAAATTAATGTTGTCCATTTAATACTATTCAGCTACTTTCCTTGGCAGCATATTGTTGTGCAAAAGTTTAATTTATATTCTAATTTATTTTATATTTAAAATTTGCTGCACGCCGAGGGGAAACGCGTTGCCAAGCGCCAAAGGAGTTGCAGCAAATTGTTAACTTGAAAAATCCTGTCGGAACTATCATATCTCTTTGTGCAAAGACCTAAACGCATATCAGATTTAACCATGCCTCGGGTTGGAACTACGTGCTTGTTTCTTAATCTTTTGGGCCCTGAGGAGAATGGGAGGTGGATCCGCTGTACACTACAATGGACCAATTATGTTCTAAGTGAGTCGAGGGTAAACTGCCGCCGGCTACCTAACTAGTAAACAAGGAAACTGAATTCAGTAGAAATACAGAATGCACTATAAACGAAGGTTTCTCGCCTTAATTTGTGACTTCCTGGAAATTTATAATCTTCAAACCGTACAAATACAAGTACTTAAACTTAATACTAAGCGTAAATTGAAATGAATTTGCAATTACCAGACTTGAAATAGCTTTCTGATTTAAGCCTTAGCTTTAAATTAAAGAGACAACCTGTTTTATTTTTGGACTTAAAAGTTAAATAATAGCTAAGAAGGCAAGTAATAACGGTAAATAAGGTTGGTAATAACGATTAACTCTTTTAAATTAATAGATGATGGTGTTAGCAGGTTAGAACCCATTTTCAAGAATTGGTATCCATGAAGAAAATTCTATGCTCGTGCACATTTATCAAATGTATTGCGCCCACGATTAAGCCAAAAAATTTACCGCTAATTAGTGCAACTTGCAACGCGCCACAAAACAAGCAGAATTCGGTGGAGAATTTGCAACAATTTTACATGGAAGTGCACCATTAAACGCCACATAGCATCACAAAATACCACAGAACACACAGAGATAGGGCCAAAAGTTTGCGGTCAGCGCATTTCAATGTTAAAAACCCGCAGGAACTTTTAATTTAAAGCTGATAATTGCTGGCGTATTGCGCACATTAACAAAATAAAACCCACGAAATAACTACTCGTAAAATACAAATTTTGCTTGACTTCAAGTTGAGCGTTAGCATTACACAGAGCATTTTTTTTTTGGTTTTTGTAGATGGGAAAATTGCAGTAAAAAGTCCTTGAGCCTTTACAGTTTTGTGGCACCCAACTGGTTTTTACTAAAAGCCAAAACTACACTTGAATTTAATCCGCAATGTATTTAGTCGGCAATTCAGGCCCTTTGCCATGGGAATGCATTATTTTAATAATCCAACAGTTGGCAAATTAAAGCCTATGTGTCAAATTGAAACAAAGGCAAAGACCTGCTTCAAGTCATTAAGAGTAGCTTAAAGGCATAGCTAAATAGTTTGGCCATTAACAGAGTCCTGAAATCCTGGGCAAGTAGTGTGCCGCTCATCTCTGTTGTTTAATGCTCTTTTTACGAGCAGCCGTGCAACGTGTGGTGGCACATTTCGGTGGCGTATACGTAACTTTTACGAGTTGCACTTAGCTCATAAAAGCGACGCACTCGCTGCCACTGTCACAAGTGGCATGTAGATTTATTCTTAGAATTTATTGCCACACATTCGCCTAACAGTAACTGCAATTCGCATGCCACACAACACGCTGCTTTAGAGCTGTGTAAACTTGACAGTTACAATATAATCAATGTCTATGGCAGATATAATCATGTCAATGTTGATTGCAACACGCAGAGCAAGAGTCGACCACGACTACAGCAATGTGCAACTGAGTCGCTGCAGCTGCCACACGTGCCACATTCCAGTTACATATGCTTTTCCTATTTGCTGTTGACATGTGTGAATTGCCTAATACAAGCTGGCTGTGTCCCAGTGGTACCGAAGGCCTCTAACTGTGCAGTGTACAGGATGTGCGTGCTTTTATTAACAGCGGAAAAGGGCAGCGGAAATATAAACAGGAAATGTTACCAACAATATTTTCAACACGCCAACATTGACTAATTGCACAAACACGCTTACATTCTTTATGCCGAATGAGTGGTAAAAAAAAGACTTAATTGTGAGTTAAAAATGATATGCATGGAGTGTGCGACTAGGGGATAGCCTGTGCCGAGCAACCCTTTAAGATTTTGCTTTAATTTCAAGGGCCTTATTTGGTGTCTTTGGATACGCTACGTACGAACAAAGCTAACCCGACTCAGCTCAGCTCCTGATTCACATTTATATACTTGTACATAGGATCGGAGATGCTTCCTTGGGCCTGAGACACACATTGTCATGACCATCTTTAAACATCTTTGATTAGTAAAGGGTATTTAAATGATGCACATAACTTATCTTATGTCAGTTGTAATTCAGGAAATCAATGCAACTAAATTAAATACATTAATATTTTCGAATCACACGCACTTACCAGTAGCAGCAGGTTGTTGGGTATTTGTAACCATGAATTACATTTAGTTCGTTGCTGTTGCCTTATTATGGCCATGTTGTTGTTTTGGCTGATGTTGGCAAACACTGGCCAATGCTAATGCCCCGATAGCTCCGTCTGCTTGCCGTGGCCCGTTGGCGTCCACACGTCGTCTCCATTCAGAACATAGAACTGTTTAGCCTTTGTGCCTTGGTGTCTGTCCTATGCAAACAGAGTCTTTGAGTTGCCACTACTATCTGTTGTTTGTGTTTACATGCAACAATATGCGGCACGAATCACTTTGAGCTACACTTTCATTGGCATCCTTGGCACTCACTAAGCCAGCGGCACATTCATCAGCAAAATGTTTGCTCGACTGTTTACACGACTGCCTAAAAGCTTGGGCTTGAACGTGTCTGTATTAGCTGTTTTATTTTTCTTTTTTATTCTGTTGTCAGATTGTCAGTTTTTTCAGAAATATGCTGCAAACGAAGAGAGAGAGAGAGAGAGAGAAGTGAAAGAGGTGAGCGAAGAGCTTTATAAGTTGCACCTGGCGTATACGCAATGTGATTTAATGCCACCTTGGCACTATAAAGTAATAAGGTGCACAGTTACTACAGATGGTGCACTTAAAATCGATTGCAATAATACTTGAAATTTTTCACAATTACTCGCCAGCGAGCAGAGTAAAACAGTAATCAAATTTTAATTGCCGCAAATAGTTCAGTTTTCAATAACTTGTTTGCCAACAATTCTCAAAACACAAATCACCTGTTCATTTACTTAGTAAGCTGCAATATATATATTTTTAAATTGCCATTAGTAAATTTTTTCTGCAAGTGTGCAGTTTGATTTTATTTTGCAAGCATATTTTGCGTTGATTGTAAAATGGTTGTCAAGATAAATGAATGAGTACGAGAGTATTGGATTTTTGACAATGAAATTGCCTGTGCTTCGTCCTGTAAGCTGCTTACGTGTATGGATTGATAAATTTGGCTTTCAATTCGCATTGCGGTTGCACTTTTGAATTGTTTTCCCATTGGATCCTGCTCAATTCTCTCATTTCATGCGCTGTCATTTTCAAGCTTGGCAGCATTTTTCACAGGCCAACAACTTGCCAGATAGTCTTTTCCTTCCTTTCACCAGCTACGAAAATGAAACGTCAAAGTGCAAAGTATGACAAATTGCATTTCCATTGTTAATTTGTATGCATAGCTTGATTCTCCACTCCATGCCATGTTGGCCATGCAAATTAGCTTTAACATTGTTATAAACATACATGCACACATAAAAATATATTTTTCGCTTTGCTCCCAAAAACTTTTTCAATTCAAGTTCGCTGAGCCTTCACTATTGAATATTGAGCAAAAATCAATAAACATATTATGTTAAATATTTTAACGATTCCTTTAATAATATGCGCACGCACAAGATTTTGTTTATTTTGTTGTTTATTTTGGAACATGCACGATATGTAATCTGGCTTATATAATTATAAGGAATCCATCTAGGAGCCATTTAAGCACAAAGGTCAAAAGTTCTTCAAAGTTCACTCTGTAAAATACCTTGACATGATCGTTGACATATGCATATATGACGTAATAATCCAATTTATGTGCTCATTACTTGATATAAAAATGAACAAAAACAAGTCAAATGGGAATTATTTTTGTGTAATAACTTATTTAGCTTTCATTATTATAATCTAAATCTGTTAAGGTTTGTTCGCTTCGACACGCCTTTGAATTTCGGCTTACAATGACAACATTCGACATAACATATATACATATAGTTATTTTTGGGCAGAACTGTGGGCCATCAAAATTATTTGTGGCTGCTAATTTCCATTTGGACAGCTAATGACTTTGGTCAGAACGTGTCTCCCAAAATATGCGCCTTAATATTTTCCAATTTATTAAAGCTTCCAATGGCTTATAGCTGCTTAACATGAATATGCTTGGGCGTGGAAGGGGACTTGAGTCCAAGTTTAATTTTAAAATATTTAATTATTCAAAATGAGTAATACAATAGCCTTGGTTCCCAATTTGTTAGAGTGTTATTTTGTCGTAGTCTTGCGTTGTCACATTTTATTTACTATTTTTAATTATATTTTTTTTTTTTTTTTGATGGTTAAACCGAGTGTTACCCTAACAGAATCAGAATAAAAAAAATAACAGAAAGCTGGGCTTAGTTTATTATAACTTTTCTCGAGTAACAGAAAATGACATGTAAATGTATGTTTATATAATTCTTGCAAATAATCGAACTTTTTTTAATTTATAAAAAAAGCATACTTTTAGGCATACCAGAAATATTTAAATTACTTTTATTAAGAAGTTTGGGATTAAAACATGATTTGTTGAGACATAAAATACAATAACGACTTGCTTCTAATATGTAGTAAGGATACACCACAATCAACAGCCACAATGAATAGAAATTCGTTGTGGGAATAATATGCATATGTCATGTAATACATACGCGTTAAATAGATCATATATTTTGGTTAAGTGTTTAGCTGTCGTGTGTGACCATTAAAGAAGAAATTTAAAATGTGCAGACCTTTAGAAGATTGAAGGACATAAATATTGCCATTATGGCCCCTAAAGTCCAACATAACTGCCATGGAAAATGACTAACAACACCAACGGCAATTGGCCAAGTGGTGTTTATCAATGTGTGTGTGTGTGTCACTATGAAGGCGAAATCACTGGACTGAAAAACAGATTGCGATTTAGACTGTATGCCACTAAAGTGTCGGGCACAACAATTTCATCCTTCACATCTCTGCTTTAAGCTGTTTGCCATCATTTGTGCTTCATTCATTGTGCTCTCACTTGCGTAAATTTGTGCAAAAATTCCCTAAAACAATAACACCAACAACACGAACTGCATGCTACTTGCATTAGTGCGCGTCCGACTGGGGTGTCGAGGCGCTTTCCTTGCAAAACGCATTGTTAGCGCTGCTGCAGCACTCAAGTGTGTGGCTATATGAGTGTGTGTGCGTGGGTGTGTGTACGTGTGCTTGAATGTTTTATGACACTTTTGCTCATTGCTGGCCCAAATGCACACACAATATACACACACACACACACACACACACACACACATAGACGGACCCATCTACTTGTATGCAAATGTATATACATATGTTAATGTAAAATGTGCTGATGCGAAGCGAGCGGCTAGTTCGCTTCCGTCCAACAAAAGGATGTATGTGCCATGCACAACAAATAGGAAAATGTACACAACACTTGCACGCACATACGTCAGAGAGAGAGAGAGAGAGAGAGAGAGAGGGGGGGAGAGAGATGGATATGTGTGTGTGAAGCGTTGTCTTTGGCTTTGCATAAAAAATTGGCTGTGAAAACGCTTTGGGCAAATTTGTTTTCAGTTTGCGCACACATTCTCACATTTCTCACTCTCCGCTCACATTTTCAGCAAGTTTCCCTTTCATGCTATTTCATGTCGTTTTTTACAGATGTGTACTTTTATTTAAGTTTTTTACATTTCTCACATTTTATTTGCTATTTTGCTCTCTTTTATTTGGCATAGGAAATTTTTTGCGGCCACAACGCAACGGCTAAACCGTTTTCAATTCTAAATAACTTATGACCTTAAAAGTTACTTAGTTGTGAATATAAATTAGAATTTTAGAAACAATTGCGGTTCGGTGCAGATATATTAAATTAACTGCGACTTAATTTAAGTAATTCTATCTCGTAAAATCATCTCGGATACGAAACTTTCATTGCGTTACAAATTTCATAAGGCCTTTATAACGCCCTCTCGTCCATTTATCCTCTGAAAGTAGTAGCTTTAATTCATGGGAAAATCTCACAGCTTGTCACAGACATATTTTCACTCACACACACACACACACACACACACACATGCTTTTGGTTAGGATCATTGGGGCGTGTCGGCAAAGTGCTTCATAGGCGGACTAATGAATGACGCCGAAATAAACGCATGAATGGCTGCCAAAGCAGACATGGCCTTTGGCACTAAACTTAGCAAGTGAAATATAATTTAAAACTGTGCTTTCAATTAGCCTAATCGCAATTGAGAGCGTTGCGAACAACACGCACGAATCAAAACCGAAAGCAAATCCATTTTAATGGAGCGAAGTAAAATGCAATCAATTAACTTGCCTATTCACGCACACCCGCACACAAGCCGAAGAACAAAAGCGTAAGGTATTCAATGGGGATTTGTGTTTCTCATTTCTGACATATTTATGCATTTTTTGACTACAACAACTGCAATAACAACTAGTTTTTGGGCTGTGGCATTGAAAATGAAATTGAAATTGTAATTGAAATTGAACAGAGCACAGAGCGCAGCACAATGCCAAATTGATGAGTTGTTGCCAATTCGGAATGCCAATCAAAATGACAAAACAACACAAATCAAGTCCATAAATTGCAATACAATTTTTTTCTATATTTCATTTAATTTGATTTACTCTACGTCTGACAGATATATGTAACTTTTTAGAAATTTTTGTCATTCTTAGCAAGTAGTTGCTGCAGAAGGCGCCAAACTCTGTGAACTCCCTCACAGTGTAAACTAAAAGCAAGTTGAAAAGTAACTTTTTGTCCATTTTTCGGGCAGCTGTCGATGCCAAAAATTTAGCCCAAGGCAGTTTTGAAAACTTTCGAACTGTGACCTTATGAAACATAAAGTTTTGATATACCTGGGTACTACTTATAAAAGCAGTAGAGGCAAAATTTTGCTTGAGTAAAGGAGATCTTCAGTAATCTTGCTACCGAATTTGTTGTCTTTCGGTCTAAAGAGATGTAGTTCTATAAAAGTCTCTGATGGGTTACCCGCCCACAGTTGCGCCAGGTAAAAAGTTGTTGGCCTTAATCTGAAGTTATTTCAAGTAAAAAAGCATTCGACAAATTTAATATATTCCTGTTCAATCTGTACACAGAATATTATAATTTTATTATTTAAATGCATAATAATTTACGTACTGTTTACATTAATACTGCAGTTTTAAAAAGAAGGTTTAAAACCGTCGTGTCTCAATTATACTTACAAAACGCAATTGTGTAATTAATTTATAATTATATAATTTAAAAAATCAATCTGTTAGTTTGTAAGGGTATAAAGAATTTGACTGCTTGATATATTTTTTTTTTTGTATAATAATCAAAAATGCAAATGCAGCTTTGTTATCGCATCGGGAAAACAATTTAAATGCCAACAAATGCTCATATGCGCCAGGGGCGTGTCTTGCAGCGCCCCAAAAAGGAATTTGATTCGATTGTTTGTATGTCTGTCTGTCTAGCTGTCTGTCGTTTGACAGCTTTTACAGTGCATTGAATGGCAGATGACTTTGACAATGACAAATCGAAATAACAAATTATTAAAGTGAGCAGAGCAAATCATTTAAAATGACTTCCTTGGTGTGCAATTAATTCAGGGGTGACAAGAAAAAGTTGCCGCCATTAATTGACATTTTCTTCTGGGCATTTTATGCAGCGTAAGAGCAGGCACAATTATTGTAAGTATGTGTGCGAGTGTAAGCGTGTGCAGTTCATTTGGCACGTTTCGGGTATAATCCCAGTTGGGAGTGTAATTCGTTAGAAGTTGGAACACTGTTGGGACACTGTAGGAGCGCACTCTGCCGTCTGGCAAAGCTCATTTCCGTTTTATATTTAAACACTTGAGGCTAAAATGTTTGCTTTGCCCAATGCTCCGAGCTGCGCAGTGCAAAATCATCATAAAAAGGCAAGAAATGAAAAAATAAATAGCCAGCCAAAGAGGATGCCAAGTTCTTGTCTATGGCTAGCTGGCGGTGCAGACGGAGGTGTAGTTGGCCGTGCTTAGCAAGTGGATTTTTAAATTAGTTTCCCGACTTCTACACAGGCATGCAGCCGAAGCGGCGCAAGGACGTAGGGCGAACTGTTTGACGTCCTTCTTGGGGCAAATGGACTTCCAAGCCATTGGATGTGACATTTTGGTGCTTATTTAAATGAATTAAGTGATTTTTCAAGTGCTAAGCTCGCCACGAGCTGCAAACTCATTTCCGCTCACTTCGTATTCGCCGTTCTTGCACCAATGCTGCCCAAGAAGAAGCAGAAGAAGTTGCCTCTTTAAGCTTCATTTGGCTTTCATTTTTTGTGGCTACAACGAGCTGTTTATTTACAGGCAATCAAAACTTTAACAGCCGCTCGCAATTTGCCAGTCGGTGCTTTACGACAGTCTATCTATTTCGACGGGAACGAAATGTTTTAACAGAATGCAAAATATAAATAAACCTGCTATTAGGAAATAGTCAAGCGTTTGCGCACAGAAGATACTCTATTTGGTCGTAAATACAAACACGTACATACTATATATTGAGCTGCACTATTTGAGTGCTGTTAGGCCAGGTGAAATTGGTCTGCTGCAAATGGGACAGATAAAACGGTTTGAAAATTTTCTGTTGAATTAAGGAAAAAATGGATAACTCCTGAATCCTTAGGGTCGCATTCATATTCCATAGTAGCAGCAGTATTTATTTTCGTTTAGATACTTCAAGTGGACAAAATTTAACGAATAAGATAACTCTAAGCTGTGCTCTTAATATATAAGACAGCAGTACAAAAGTTTTCATTATAAACACACTGCAAGCAATCTCCGCCTAACACAGGTCGGAGAACAGATAAACTTCTTCAGAAGCCGATACGCCAACAAGCTGCTGCAGCATCCGAACGCGGCCGCCAGAGTCCTGGCTGACCCCATCAGAGAGAGGCGCCTCCAAAGGCTACCCCCTTTCCCTTCATTGTAAATACCCTACCATTGTAAATATCATATAGGTTACATAATTGTAACTATACCTTCTGCACTCATTGCTTGGTAAAGATCAGAACTGATCAATTCCAGCGCAAAATAACAGGTATTTAAATTGAAAAAAATATATATATACACTGAGTTTGGATAAAATTGTATTAAATATTCCTTCTAGTCAGAAGATCTTTAAGCATTCTAGAAACTTTGGGTAGGGTAATAACTCGTGTAATTAAAACGTGTGGCGTCATTAGCAATGTGTTTAAAGGCAATGTGCAGATATATGTATGACCAAAAAGGTTTTTCCTTCTGTTTGTCGAGCAACTTTTTTGGCGCACATGGCTCACGCATCGTATGCGTAATAAAGTTTATCAGGCAGCCTTTGTCATTGTTTGTTCTCCTTACCGGTCCGTAAGGTAACAGCATTGCAATAAACTGTCAAAGTGGCACGACAAATGAAAAAGAAAACAAAAAAAAAAAACGTTTCGCTTTAAATAAGCGTACAGAATTCATGAAAGGGCTGTACAGTGCCCCCGCCTCGGCTGCGCTCGTACTCTTTTGGCCACATTGTTGGCTTCTTTACCTAGGGGCTGGAGTCGTGCTCGAGCTGTTTTATTGTTACATTATTGTTATTTAATGCCAGCACACACTAACTGCAGACACCTAAAACAATTTTATAACCGACCCATAAATAAGTATATATTCCAACTGCTTTCCTTATTAGTACGTGTGGCTCTCTGTCTCTGTCTCTCACTCTCTGATAAAGACTGCCCTCGTCTGGTTAGCCACCCAGTCACCAGCTACCAGTAGTTAGTTTCCATTTCCCATACCCACACAAACACACACACGCACACACATTTGTTATACATTTTGTTTGTTGCATATTTAAAAAATGTTCGCTTTTGTTTTGGTATTCAACTGTTCTAAAGAATCTCAGGTTTCATTGCCTTGTGCACGTAGGCTGCGTCTGTCGTTGAATTATTATTTTTTTTTTATATTGCTGTTGCTATATAGACAAAGAAATGTGGAAAAACGATTTTGCATGCATTTACAGAATGCAAGACATAAGAAAATTCAGTGAGTTTGATATTGTACAAGCCACAAATTGTCTGCATGTAGAACAAATCGAGTATGTGTACTGAGGCCCACTCTTCCAGGCACATACATGAAAAAGCTTTCACGCGAATTATTAATTCATTCGCGTTTGTTTTCCGTATTGTGCTTTTCTGACCTATGCCAAGTCATGTTTGCGATTGTGGACCCTTTTCGACTGTCAATTTTAATTGCCTAAGTGAAATTGACACTTAAGCAATTGCATCCCTGAAAGGGCTGTGGAAATATTATCAATTTAGCCTTGAGCGCAAAATGTGCTGAATCGCAGCTAACCATGTGACTTAATATTTTGCATCTTTAAAAGCTAACGTTTGCTTTGCTTAACGTTTGTGAATGACCGAATGGAATACAGAAATCATGCATTTAATTAGGCTGAAAATAAATCAATGCCGAAACATTTATTGCCGCTTATTTACTCAGCTCAGTTTCTTCTTTCCCGCCAAAGCCTGTTGAAACTTTGTTGCTAAGGTAAGCTAAGGTAACTCGCTTTCGTAGACCTGTCAAAAGTGTTTGTTAGCTATTGATAATTCGGCTAGATGAACTCTCCCAGCTCTATTCATCTGCACACTCGAGAAACGGTACTCAATTAGGCTACTGGAATTACTATAATAAAATCAGTTTCTAGTTAAGCACGTGCCATATTTAAAAAGCCGCAAAATGTCACACAAACAACAATACGCGTGTTTCTTTAATTGCATTTTGTAATATGCCCTTCCGCCTTGTTGCTAATTACGCCGTAAGTTGTCTCAAACAACGAAAAAATACTTATATATATAAAATAACAAATAACAAAAAAAGCGTGAAAGAAAACCGAAAATGGGCAACATTTCCATAGCTACAGCTCAGGCAACAGCGAATTGTAATTAGCTGAAGTTGCGGATTTACGGCTGGTGCCAAGCGCAATAAAAATCATTCAAAATCGTTGCACTTGAGAGTTCAGCCCTGAAACGATACCAGGCCCAAAAACAAGAGACGCCTATTTCAAATATCAATTTGCATAGCTAAACGCCGCGGGCAAACAGCTCGACAAACAAACAAAAAATATGTAAAAAAAAGTGTGTTTCGCTCGGCTCGAGACTCACCTGAATAAATCATTGCGATCGTGAAGGCGACAGCGACGGCGACTCTGGGCGAGATTAGAGACGCCAAATTGATTCAAAATTCGGTCAAGTTTTTAGTTGGTTTTAGTTGTTTTTAGTTGTTGCTGCTGCTGCTGCTGTTGATGCACTTTAGAGGCGGTGACCGGCTTGACAGTTTGCTAAAAGTTTGTATATGATATTTGTTGTCTCTTACGCTCCAATTGTTGTTGTTGCTATTAAATTGTTGTCACGCTTTAACATATTTTATGATTGGTTTATCTATAGCATGAATTGTTTGCTTGTGCCAGCTGAAATAAAATTAATTTGTTAATTGCAAGCACACAATTTATGGCTAAATATTTATTAGCTGTCATGGCGCATTCATTGACATATTTGCCAAATAATAATTGTAAAGTGCTTAAACGATTAGCTGACATCATGATTAAAGTATTGACAGCATTCCATATTGATATCAAACAAATCTAATTAACGGAAAATAGATAATATGCAGCAATAGCGACTGGCTTTAAATCGAATTGTCGTATTTGTAAAATTAAATTTGCTTTGTCTTTCTATTTAACAGTCATTATGCAAATGGGGGAACATTAAAAACAATGAAATTATTTTCTAACGATGCTAATTGCCGACAACAAAAGAAATAATTGTGGCACACATACACCCACACACACACACACACACGGTAACACACATAACATGGACAACAAAAATTACAACACGCGAAACACAATAAAATCACATAAAAGACATATTACACTTGATACAAAAACTGTGAATGCATAACAATTGAGCATGAGTATATAAGTGCACTCACTTCCACAGACACACTCGATTCTTGATATATTGCTTTATTATTATAAATAATATTATTTCAAATTTTTGCCCAAAATATAATTTGCAGTGTGAAGCACGTAGCTGCTGCAGTTGTTCAGCGTGTGTCATTGGCCGAGAACTGTTCACTTTTGAATACCATCTGTGATTCATATTATTCAGCACATTATTCAATTAATTCACTTGAGCATCACTCGACAGCGAAATCCTTGCACTTTTGTTCAATACGAGGACTCGACGGCAACTGAATGCGTAAAACGGAAACGCGGCTGCGATCACGACTTCGTTGCACGACAACGAGTACTTTTTGCTTCGGCGCCCACACACACACACACACATGCACACACAGTCACACGCAGACAGAGTACGTATTCTATTGTACCGTTATGCACGGCTTAAAATTGGCGTCAACGTGAACGTTTTTATGCGTTGCACAACCAACGCGGCGGCATTTTCAACACAAACTGATTGCCAATTCGATTCTAGTTGGCGCCACAGTCCCATGCGGAACGTTCTGGAATTGGAACGCGCACAGTACACCACAGTGAGTTTTCCAATAAGACAGAACAGCAACAGCCGCTGCTGTTGCTGTTGCCGGCGTCTGCTCTGCTCGGCTACGGATAAAAATCGCATGCGACAAATTTGGCGACGATAAAATTACTTTTAGCCAAGTGGTATATCAATAACGGGACTAATTAGGCTCACTTTTTGTTGTTGCTTTTATATCGGATATATGGGCGGAATTTCGTCTTAAAAATTTTGTTTGATACGCGGCTACTTGTTAGCCATTTGACGCCGCCTTGGGGCGGCAGAAGAAGGAAGGAATCGAAGGGACGCATAATAAATGGAGAGCATCAAATAATTTTCTTTTGACCAGCAGAATAGGAAAATGAGGGAAAAAAGGGGTTCGCACCGCTAACTAAAGTGAGAGTTGTACATCAAATTGGGCTGGGTTTTCCGTTTTGACGCTCCCTTTTTGCTTTCCTTTACAATTTTGCCTGATGAGCAAGTTGACATTGTCAATTTAGCAAATTTTCTTTTTAGATTATTTAGAAAATTTCGGCTCCTTCTTTTGGCTAACCACTTTTCCATTTGGCGGTGAATGCTTCGATTGGATTTAAGCAGCTGAGTTGATTGCACTCTTTAACAGGGGCTTATAACCAGTTGGCCAATATGGGCAATAGGCTACCTAAAAGAGTTATTGGGATGATATGAAAAGAGTGACCCTTTATGCTTGGAAAGGGCGATACGGAAAGTTGCGAAAGCGCACTTTTACGTGTTCGTTAAAGATAAAGACTTAAACTTGAAAATTTTAGTTTCAGCTGCGAGCGAAAATTTTACGTTAAGTACTTAACCAGAAATACATTGAAAGTTTTTGTGAGTGTATGCCTTAAAAGAAAGATTGGATTGTGTTTTCTTAACCGTATGCTGAATGTTTTCTTATGATCTATGGATTATACGCTCTCTTTCTGCTGCTGGTCCAAGCAGACAACAATTTGTTTTTGCAATTGTTGACATTTGTTTACTTGGAACACAAAATTGGTAGCCAGTGGTGCGAATAATTCACAGTATCCGCACACAGATAAGCGCGCGCACACACACACACACACACACACACATACGCACGCACTGGCACCCTCATAAGTGGCAACAACAAGAATTCATCGCTAATTAGGATAAACAGCTGTTGCCAAATTAATTACATATGATGGGCACATGAACACATGAACACATAAGCACGAGTCGCCCATCGCTCAACAACAAATGCAACCTTTATTTGGGCTGTCGGTTCGGGCCCTCTTTCCCAACCACCACGCCCCTGCCACCAACAGCCCCTTACTAAGGCGAATGTAATCAAAATGAAAGACGAACCGCTTTTATTTGCCCCATTCACTTCGTATCTCAAGCTGGCAATCCCTATGCCAGCAATAAATCTGACAATCAGCTGCCAAGCGAAAAGATAAACTTTTGTTGAATGGCCAAAAGGGAAACTGCAGGCAGCTCCACGGTGCTCGGTGCTCCTTGTTAATTTGCATAAACAGCCAGAAAATCCACTTGGACGTTGCACCCGACAGTCAGTAAGTCACCAGCGAAAACTGCTGACTTTCTCTTTGGCTCAGTGAGGGTGAGGTGAGAGGCAGGGCAAGGTGCTCAGCATGCAATCTGGAATATATTATGCTGCTTAAACGTAAAGTGACTTGGGCTGTGTAAGAATTCAACGCCTTGATCCGAGTGCATATTGTCAGGCAGCTCCTTGGGTCGCCTTTTAGCCATACAAAAGAATTTAAAGCACTGCAAAAATATTTACACAAAACTTTGTTGCACGAGCTTTTTGCTCGAGTTGTCGAAAGTTTTCGCATTGCCCCTTAGCTGCACAATGTTATTGTTACTTTATTGTTGCCCCAATTCTTGGAAATTGCACGCAAATTCTTATAATCAACTTATCTGACGATTTTGGGTGTTCAATTTGCACAAAGCTGATTACATAATTTTCATACTTTGCATCACCAAATCCCGTTAATAGCGCACACCCACACACACACAAAAGGTATTCGGATCTTCAGATTTTCTTTTCTTTTTTTTACCTCTTACCTTTTTTTTATTGATTTGGTACTTAACAATTAAGGGCTCAGATTCAATCGACTCAGTCACATTGGACTTTGTCTGAGAAGCTGCTTTAAAATTTACTATTTATTTATATGCAGAAATATTATTTAGTCCAGAAACGTACAAGTAAATCTGAATTAAAAATCCACTGACCTACTTTTAATGCTGCTTAACTTGACATGAAAAATAGAATTAATTATATTCAAAAAACTTTAAAGCTTCTTTAATTTATTTAAAATGAACTAAAATAGCAGCAAAATATTTTAAACATAATTTTTTAATCGTTTCACGGAACTTTGAACCGTTGCAACATGCAAAATATGCTCAAACATTATCCATGCTCAGGTATTTCGCAATTATGTATTCCATGTTTAAAAAAAGACAACCTTTTATTGAAATAAAAGGAGGATATACTTTAAGTTCGCCTCACATCGCCTTTGCTTTTGGCTTCTGGTTTTTTTTTTTATTTCTGCTATTATTGCGCCATTGATTGCGCACCTTGATGCTTGGATTTGTATCGTTGCTTGAGCGGCTTGAGGTCTTGTCTCCGGCTTGTTATTGTTATTCTGTATTTTGCAGAAGCCGCCCCTTATGCGACTGTTTTGCTGGCACTGCTGTCACTCAAAGGCAAACACCTGTAATAAATATTCGTTTGTCGTTTCTGGTTTACGCTTGCGTTTCGCTCAGTTGTCCTGGTTTTCTGGCTGCCTGCCAGATACATTTCGCTTGATTTTCCATGTGAGCGCACAGCTACAGCAGCGAAAAGAAAATCCAGCAAAGGAAAACTGCCTCGTTGGCACATTTTCATATAGCATCGCCTGAGAACTTAACTCAATTCCCATTCGAGCAGTCGTAGAGCGCATAAAATGCCAACAAGGCAACAGCCCCATCCATGGACCAACAGCCCGAAAGAAGTGCAGCCAAGCACTTGATGTCAAAAGCACCAAGGCAGCGCGTGTTTGCTAGCCACGCTTTGGGCCCGTTTAGCGGCGATGGCCACATTTGGTTGCACATGTTGCACGATTACCGTAGCACATATAATTAAACGTGTAGACCACACCTGCCTAATGTAGCGGGTGCTCTTTCTGCTGCTGCTTCCTTCCTAGTAGACATTGCAGCAGGATGCTGCCCGGCAGGAGTCGCACTTTCATTCTGGCTGCAGTGTGTCACCATTCGCGCACATCTGAGCACTCAGTGTGTGTTATTAATTGCGTAATTTGTTTATTAATACACAAATGAGCACACACCTGCAGCCAGAGCCGTTGCCTGTGCAACCCACTTACATTATGTGCACCTAAAAGCCGTAAGCTGTAAACTCTAAGCGGGCCAAGGCCTGTGCCACAGGATATTCTCTATCTGTGCAAAGCTAGATCTAGTTGTTGCTGCTTTTGTTGTTGTTGTTGTTATTGCTGTTACTTATTCAACGCAATTAGCGAACTCACCTGCCCCGCAAACGTTCCCCACATTCTCCAAATTCTAATCACATTTCAACTGCTCAACATACAAAAGTTTTGCACAAACTTTGCAGCCAAGTGTTTGACTTGCAATTGAAGAATTTTGCTTCAGCATTTTTCTTATACTCACACACACACACACACACACACACACACACACACACACACTCATTTTGTATGCTCTGGGGAGTTGACTTTGTGGGCCATAAATCAATTTTTATATTTTGCTACTCCGGCAGCCTTTTCCTGGCTGCTTGCTGCTTCTGCCGTCTGCTGCCTTCATTCGCTTTAATTGCCTGCACATGGAAAATTCTAATGGCAAACACGAGCGCAAAGCTCCTCATAGAGACCATGAGAGTAGCTGGTAACGCTTTAATTAAATTATAATTACCAGAGTCTTGTTAGCACAATTACAGACACCGCCACAGCCGTAACCAAGCAAGGATACGTGTCCATACATCAACATGTGGCCTTCTACCTTAAGCTCAAGTCAGCGGCACTTACCGCATTGACTTTAACATTATTTTCCCTAGAATCCATTTGCTGGGCTCTATTTTGCAGAAAAAAATACAGAGCTGTAATTTCGTGTTTATTTGCAACGCTCGGATACCCCGTACTCAGTATTAAAATATAAAAACTTTGACTCAAGAAGAGAGCTACACATACATCAGGCGTGGGAGCGCAGTATGTGTGTGTGGGTGTGTGTGTGTGTGTGTGTGTGAGCGAGCAAACGAACCAGCAAGCGCGTGATTGAGAGAGCCTAGCTGAAGCAGCAGACGAGAGAAGGGATCTGAGCGGAATTTATATAAAATCGTAACGATTGAAAGAGGAAGAGCTGGCAGTATAAATACAGCCGCCTGTTGAAGATGGCGTTCAGTAGAAGCTGCAAGGCAGACAGGAGTGCGTGTGTTCTCATGAAATTAAATTGAAGCAGATCGGAAATGGAAGCTCTCACAATAAGTAGAGCCAGGCCGTATATGTAAATACAGCTGATCGTTCAAGTTGGGCGTCAGTTCAAGCCGCAAGGTGGCCCGGTAAAGGATGGAGTGTTATTGTATGCTTGTGAATTCGTATATAAATATGAGCATCAGATCAGGAATGCGCGCTCTTGACCTGTGCAATCGGTTCTATACAATGGAAGGAAGAAGAGGTGGCAGTATAAACATCGTTATAAAAGTAGGATGCCAGTTTCAGCTGTAAGGCGGCCCTCGCAGGAAATATATGTGGTAAGTACTTACTTATGGTCGCGTTCAGAAAGTTCAAAAGCAGCTTGCAGCGATTTTTTCCAACTAAATAAATAAATTCATATAAATTCTTCTAGTTACGCATTCCAAGAAACAAGAAGTACCAAAGACAAATTTCCATTGTCCAGGGACAAGTTCTTTTCTAGGTATGCAATTTTTAACGTGCAATCCTATTTTCAAGTGAATGCTACAGGGTATACAGGGAATAACAGCCATGTCAACTGCAGAAACCACTCAAGTTCAAAGAAAGTCTGTCGATTAGAAAAAAAACCGCAACAAAGTTGCAGCCGTCAAAACTGTTAAAGTTCAAATACGAAACTTAAATCAATGTAGAAACTAAGTAAGTGCAGACATTTAAAGTGAAATATGTGGCTTATAAGTGCTTTCTCTTATGTAAAATAATGTGTAATGCTTCGCATAGGAAGAGACATGCAAGTCATTGTATAGAGGAATGTGTAGTATTTATGTTTATCACGTAAGGCTGTTGCTGACGTATGCTGAAAGCATTTGCATACCCCACTCTGATTAATCAAAGTCCACATCGGGCAGCAATAACTTTTCCCATTTTACCCACCTGCCAATATTGAGCATACGTCACGTACGCACATGATTTGCTTACACCATCATGGCAGTAGCCAGGCATGTTGTAAGGAGCAGGCCACTTGCAACCTAATGATTACAGCGCTAAACACACGCAGGTAGCAACAAGCCCACACACAGACAATGTGCAGCTCACAATTGCAACAATCTGCTGCTGCCTGTTGGCCACAGCCTGCTGCAACAAGCTCTGTGAACAACCAGGAAAAATGAAGCCAATACAAAAACAACGCGCAGTACGTCGAGTGCATTAGTTGAATATTAAAAGCACTTTGCCAGTAGGTCAAGACAGGGTGTGGCAGGCAGTCGGTCAGTCTGTTGTTGCTGCTGCTGCTGCTGCTTTTCCAGGATCTGCAGCCGTCATCATTGCGCTGCGTTGCACAATGCGTGACTCAACCGAAGCTTGAGTCGCCATTGTTTGTGCTGCGCTTCGTTGCATAAATCGCAGAGCCCGTTGAGCCCGTGACATTTGCCATATTTTGCTCGCATTATAAATTACGTTTACACGTATTTGCATATAATCACATCAGCTTAGTAAAGAGGCTTCTGAACTGACAGCTCGCAAAGTGCGAGCATTCAATACAATGCAAACCCGTTCGCCAAATCACGCTGCCAAAACCCCGCCCCCATCGCTGACTTTAACAATTGTGCTGCGTAATTTTACAAACAGATTTTCGCACAGCAAGCAAATGCGGTTTATAATTCGCAGCGCTGGCGACGTTGAGTGGCATTGTCATTGTCACCGCCAGCTGCCAGACAATGGCAGCCACAGCTCGGCAATTCGCTCGACAATCCGTTTGCCTGTCAGCGCCAGCAGCAGCCGCAGCTCGCACACCTGTTGGGTTCGTATTGAGGCATGGGTCACTGGCGCTTTATCCGTATCTGCATTTGATGGCTGCACCTGAACTGAAAAGTCTTTAACTTGAACTTTGACGGACTTTAATACGCTTCGCTGTTCAACTGGTCGGTTTTCAATTCAGCCGAATAAGCGCTTAATTTTTGCAGAGGATTTACTTTGTGGCAAACACCTGTTGCCACTTCCGCTTGCCGCTGTGCGCTGTCAGAGCTTTTTCGTTAATCAAACAAAGAAATGAAATTTATTAAAACGCCCAAAGGACTAAGGAAGCAGACAGCAGCATGGCCAAAACATTCATTCTACCAAATGCGATGGGATTAGTTTTATCCAGTTAAAGATGCTTGCCAGCCTGCGACATTAGTCGAGACGTGATCTCATTGATTGGCCCAGCCTAAAGCCCGAATCGGCCTGAGATTTTGACTGCTTCAGTTGGCGGCCGGCTGCTGGCTGCTGGCTGAGATTTTATGGCATAAATCCACACGGTACACAATAGGTTGAACAAAGGGGACTCCGCAGTGCCGCAGATTAAATACACTTACAGACAGACAGGAATGAATAAATGGTATTATATGAATAACATCTTTTCTTTTCTTTTATGATAGCTTTTTGACTACGAGTAAGCAACGCTTCCTGATCAAAAATCAATATAAAGTGATTTTGTGACAAAACTGCAATACCCTACGTTAAGGAATACAAGTAAATAAGCTATGGGAAGCAAATTTAAAATCGGAAGAGAACAAGAATAAGAAGTGAAAGTAGCATTAGGGTTGGGCATAAGCCGTTCTGCCGACACATACAAGTACTCGTGTTTGTGTAAGCGAGTGTTTTACCAAAACCTCATGACAACACACAGGTTGTGGTGGGGGTCATGCCTCAAGGCAAACTAACAAGCAACCAAAAGCAGTGCGTCAATCCAAGGCTGATTCTAACTAACAGCAACAGCAACAAAATCAGTAGCTACAGAAGGCATCTGAAATTCTCTGGCTTATCAGCGGGCCAATGCCGGAAGCTGTGAAAATATTCATACATATTTACACGGCTCGGTGCTGGTAGGGATGCTGCCCCATTGTGTGGCAAGCTGGTGACGCTCTGCGTATCGTGCTCTCATCAAATTACGTATTCAGCAGACAGTCTGTCTGACAGACTGTCAGACAAGCAAAACAAATAAACGACTAATAAAAATTCCTTTGTCATGAAATTTGCCTGCACTTTGTATAGTTAGGTAGCATCCTGTCACACTGACAGCACTTGTGTATGTAGTGTATTCAGCATGTTTACTTAATTGGTTTACTTTACCGATCAACAAATTGCTTTACATACTACCGTTTGTTTGCCAACAATTAAACTAGTTAGTCAACAACTACAGCTGCATATTCATTTACTCTGCAGAAAGATGCCACAGCACTTGTTGGTAAAAACCTGAAAGTCCTTCAACGCAAATTCAATTGTTGCATGCAGAAAATAAATATAAAAAAAAAAAAATGTCCATTTAAATTTTTGTGTAATTACAATGTTAATAACTTAATGCAATTGACATCAATTTCTCGTGCCATCGACTCCATCGGCGCATATCGCCTGTCGCCTGTCGCCGTCGCCTGGCCACATTTTCAATTCAGCGTCAAAAATCAATCATAATTCAATTAACGCCTTGGCAAGAGGCGCCTGTGAGTCCTGTTGTTGGCCATGGACACAATTTGATGTATTTTTCCATGGCACATTTTGGCTCAAAGCTTTCCATAATTTCTAATAGGGAAGTTCGAGTACCTTTTTGGAACATTAAGTGGGTGCTTAAAAGAAATTTTGTTATATGGCAGTTTTCACTTAAGATCCAAATTTATTTAGTTTAATGTACAAATTTTGTTATTTAACAAAGACAAAGACAAATTTCATGAATGTTATCGATCAGTTGATTCATAAACAAATATGCATATGCCTTAAATGGTATCAATTAATTTAAAAAAAATATTTGTACATTTGCTGTCAAATGGAAAATGCTGTACAATGGAAAATGAATTTCTACATTTATATTCATATGTTATGCCAGTAAATTCTAAAAAAAAAACAAACTGAACTTGAATTTATGATGACATTGCAGGATTTAATTTATCTACGAAGCTCAACTTTATTTTGGACAAATATTTACATAAATATTAAGATTAAATATTCGATTATAAGCTGTGAAACATATGTGTTTCGACTGTGAATTTACATAATTAACATATTTACTACATTTTTCGAACTTAAATCAGTAAATCATGTCTGCTGCCTTACAATTTTGAGAAAATTTAATGTAAACTTTAGATCATAATCAAGTTACCAACGATTAACATATGATTAGGGATAAGCCCATGCATTGCCTACGACCGTGAAATATAAGTGCTATTATTACAATTAAATAAAAAGGGAAAACACTTGCTTAAATTAAACACCCTCCATATGTAGTATATCTGTGGAGATTAGTTTGAATTCCCAGAGTTACTGGACTTAAAAAACCTCAAACTGGTATGTTTTCTATTCTCAAGAGTTTAGTACAAAACGAAAGGTGGCTTTTAAAAACATTAAGCACACGCAACAGAATTTGGATTGTAGCATCAATTCACAGCTCTGAGCACAACTAACGAGGCAGCTCACGTAATCAAAGAACTCGTTACAATGGCACACATCCATCAACTAAATTGAACACGCCCATGTCGCATAGATTACGCCCAACTCTTTAGCGGATGACAGCAGATGCAAGCAGCGTCAAATCTGCACCGCGTGCGTAGACTTACAAGGCGCACTGTGCTGTGTTATAACAAGCCATTCATAAAGTCAAACAAAAAGTGCGTCAACCGACGCAAGGTTGGCGTACGGATCAGCCAAAAGCCATAAAGAAATAGAGATGGCAACAGATCCTGTAGCGCAAATGGTGTGTGCCACAATAGGCTTAGAGGGGGGGGTGGTGGAAGACGAATGGCAAACGCGCTGCTGTCGACGCCGCAGATACGTGTTGACATGTCAGTTAGGCAAATGAGGGTAGACAGCTCACTAAAAAGCCGCACGCGCCCCTCCACCCACAGTTAAGGCAGCTGCGAAAGTTCACAGAAACCCACACGCACTTGATGAAATTTAATGCCCTTTTGCCAAAGTTTGGTGGCCCGAAGCTTTAAAACCAAGCCGCAGACTGGTCATTAGCTGTATACGCTGTGCAAACTGCGGGGGAGCTGGCCAATTGCCCCGATGACTGCCTGCCCAATTAAATGGCCACTGTGGGCAACACCCCGATAATAAATTTCGGTCATTTATATGTAGAACAATTGCCGTTGCCAGCTCTAAATCTCAGCTCACATTTACAGTTTTATTTAGCGAGGGAGCGAAAGTTAATACCCAGTAAACCAGAGTAAATAGTGCTGTACAAAGGTATGTCGAACTTTTCATCAAATCATAAATCAGTATAAATTAGCTCGATAGTAGAAACTAAAGCGAAATCGAAACTGGTCTCTGTTTGCAGCCACACATATTCTTGCAGAACTTTTAAATAGTACGTTTAGAAGTTACTCTTGAGATATTTAAGCCAAGTACAGGATATCTTTAAGTTGACGCCCCTCGACTCGAGCATTCTTGCTATAATTTATCTGACTGGTGTAACGAGTGCAAGTGTCACAGCACCAGACTGGAATAGCATGGATTTTGTTGTGACTTTAAGGACTCTCA